AATTGCATCATTGCTGAAAGCAGCCATTTGAATTGGATTCGACATACAATAACTAGAAGCCTTCACTCATAATGGATCTTCTTGCACTATGGTTGATAACATAAAAGAAAATTCACATTGAGTTTCGGAACATTAAACATGCGTATTGTCACTAGAAGGACCAATCTTACTGGCTAAGCGTAAAAAAATTATGGTGATCCATGTTTCACAATAACATGAGAACTATCATAAGTCTTGTCCTCTCCTAAGTCTTGCCCTAACTGATGTTAAAGGCATGAACCATGCTGATCATAAGTTAGCCAGGTTGTCAAATCCACTCAAACCCTCAAGACACCTCACTGTGCTTCATAATTGGAAGATTATAGTTTATAAGACTACAAGTGTCACATATCTTAACATGATGTGATCTGATAGCCTATCTGACTAAACTGGGTATGAATCAAACCCCTAACCAAAACCGTCCAAATTTTGATCTGATCAAGGTTTTAAAAATCGAGATGAAGGTCAAGACTGGTAAACAAGAAGGGGATAATAATGCAACAATCGGTTGGGACAATATGGTTGGAGTATTGGACAAAGATGAAGATAGGATAAGGTCACAGAAAAATTAAAATCAAGACAAAAAACCAAAATCAGATAAATTCAATTTTTATGGAAAAAATCAAAATTACCACCAAGCTTATATTAATAGATGACTAAGATGTGAACCTTGGATGCAATACTTTTACCAAGGTCTCATTCCATGTGGCCAACACCAAATAGCATATAATACTCGATAGCTAATATTACAATTCATCAATTAGCTAATAGATAAATTCAATAATTATGCTCACAAATACAATACTCCCGAAGGCGAAATATACACTTAATAACTTTCATCACTCTAAATCTACAAAAGTTATCGAAAGTATTTCTATCTGATGTTAATACCAAAAGGATTTAAATTTAACAAAAGAAGATGACACAAGTATGTACAACAGGACTCCAAATTGGAAGCACATTCAAACAATAAATTGATAAGTTCTAATAAAAGTATTACCATGTTTCATGACCCCGACAAACTCATGGTTTTGGCTTCTCAAAAAAGCCCAGATAAACATACAAAAGGCAATTGCTGATGAGCTGATTCTACAACAATGAAGTGATTTTAAGCTTTTATTCTTCCACCAGAGAAAAACAAAATCAATTGTCGAATACACCACATTTTGTTGAACAGTGGATGTTTTTTATGCACAAAAGGTTGCATAAATCACATTACATATGCAACAAGAAAAATAAAGCAAAGCAGCAAAAAGAAAGATACGAGCCACTTACATCATCTCTTTCTTCACGAATTTGGCGCAGCCTCTCTTCGTCCAACCATTTTGCTTGTTCTGCTAGCTTTTTCTTGTAGGCACTGGTTACAAACTTTTCCTTATCTGCAAAAAGGTGATCATCCTTGCTCCTCTCTTTCAGCAGCTTTCTCTCATATACAATTTCATGTTCCCGCTCACGTTGTTTTGCTTTCTCCATAAGTGTTTCTATATACTTTGACTGCAACCAAGATCAAACACAGACATAAAATTTTTAACTTGCATTCTTAATCGTTAAGCACACAAAAAATGAGGTCGATCCTCTCCCACAATTTAGGTTTAATACAAAAAGGATGCCGCCGAAAAAGAACTGCCGAATTAGGATTTTTGAATTCACATCATACTTGAACAAAGCACAATTGAAAATTAAAATGCTAATTAATGTGCCAAAGCAAACATACAAAGTTCACAAAGACCGAAACGCAATTCCATGCGATAATCAGCGTAATCAAAAGGATCATGTTTTCATCCATACGTAGGCAAAAGTGAAGTACCTTTCTCTCCGTTCGATCCTGAACCTTGGGGCGCGCAATCTTCCCCTTCATCTCGTCGTAAACCCCGTCGTAGTCGAAGACCGAGGGATCCTCTTCCATTGCCTTTTTGTGCTGCTCCTCGATCTACCAAATTCCACAATCAATCAACCAACCCGCAAGTTCATTTATACATCAATACCAGGAATAAGAAAATCATTTCAAGAAACCTTCTGGAGAGACTTGTTCTTGGACGCCTGCCGTGAGATTTCCCTCTCGACGTCATCCTCGTCGTCGCCGCCGCCGAAAGCGAAGGCAGGAGGGGGAGGGCGAGGAGGAGCTGGCTTCGAGGTCTTCTGCGCCGGCGGAAATCGAAGCTGGAGTCCGTACTTCTTCATCCCTCGCGCACCGGCTCTTCTTCCTCCCCTTCTCGGACCAAAAAACGCACCCTAATTTCTGCGTGAGGCCTTTGGTTTTTAGAGCCTCTCAGATCGGATTCGCCCCCCTTCTCGGACAAAAAAACGCACCCTAATTTCTGCGTGAGGCATTTGGTTTTTAAAGCCTCTCACGCGGATCGGATTCGGCGAATCCGATCCGCGTGAGAGTCTTTAAAAACCGAAGGCCTCAAGCCTCTCACGCGGATCGGATTCGGCGAATCCGATCCGCATGAGAGGCTTTAAAAACCAAAGGCCTCACCTCGAATAGGAGTGAGGAAGGGGCCCGAGAACCCGGCATAGATCGCCGGCTGAGCCACCGAAGAGATGGCGCGCGGGCTCCGCTGGTGGTGGGCAGCTCGGGCTTGCAGCTGGGCACGATTCTTCCGCTGGCGCTCCTCCCTGTGCGCGTTCTGATGGCCCCCCATCGCCTGCGAGTTGGCGAACTCGCGGCAGCAGTACTGGCACTCGTACTTCCTCCCGTCCCAGGCGGCGCATGAGGCGACTTGTTGTTGTCAGAGAAAAAAAACCTCGTTGTTGGCAGATTTGTTCTTCCCCAAATGTCAGAGATGCTTGGGGGGGGGGGGAGGGGAGCAGTGCAAGATGCAGTATTGGTCATGTGCTTGCTGAAGAGGGGAATCCATCTTGTGAGTGCTTGGATTCATCAGACAGCAGTTTCTGCTGCACTGTGATGCAATGCCTGGGGGAGATTTCAACTTTGATGTGATCAGCCTGGCATTGATTTAAACACAGACCTGTCAGCATTCAAGTTTGGAGGATTTGAGCTCAGTGAAGATGGAGGAAGCCATGTTTGAGTTACTGATGAATGAACTGGTTGGTTGTAGAGACCCTTGCCAGAAATGAACTGAGAACCTCGGTGATTTCAGAAGCCTGTGGGTAGCAAATTACAGCACCTGTGAAAGATCATTGGCTCATTTCTCTTTCTTCGACACTCGTATGAGTGGATGATGATCTCACTGCTTAGAGAAAAAACGATGGTCACTTGCAGGGTAAATATCAGACAACATCATATTGTCCAACAAAAATGCTACACTGTGAAGTAGACACAATGTGCTGACTGTCACTCTTTAGGGAACCCAATTGCTGTTCTATCCAAACTGTAAGCAGGAGAGATAAGTTCATGCATCTTGAAAACCTTCGTGCACCACCATAATCTACCAACCATACATCAATCAGATTTAAGTTGGCCTTAACAATGAACAGAAGCAGGGGCATCCAATGTTGCTGACACAGTTAAAATGTGCACACCAAAAGGGCACTCACTATTTCATGATACAACATATTAGAGAGGAGAAAATACTAAAAATATATAAAGAGTTCTTCACTATGATGAATTACCAGATCACAGAGTGAATGGAGAACATCGGCGTTTGATGCTTCGATGACAACATAATGTCACGAGATAAACACCAACGTCCGATTCGACTATGTCTAAGTAAACCCATTGATATTTGAACTCTCCTGTTGATCAAAATTTCCACTGTGGAATGAGGTACATCCATCATCTTCCATTTTAAGAGGATCAAAAAGAAATGAGAGGCCTCACTAGTACAAAGACTAAAGACCAGAGTAGGCAAAACAAGTATTTTCAAATACAAATAATTGCCCCTTGCTGCATTTGTGAAAAAATGGGATAGGCTATGGACTATGAGTGCTACAGCACAGATGTAGAAGTTGCTCCTAACTGTATATTTACACAGATGAAGAAAAAAAATATATTGAACAAAAACAAGGGGATTCCTGCGCTAATCTCATGTGAAGCAACTGGTTGTGTCGGTCTTGATCACCCTGGTATTGTAAGAACCACAAAAACCACATTTGTGGTAAAGCCAGTGAAAGCGAGATGTTCCCTTTTTGCCACAGTCGTTACATAGTATGTCCTGGGTATTACGAAATAGCAATTAGTTCAGTATCATGTAGGGTCTCAAGATAGTTGTTTGATACCTGACATCGATCCCGATACTCTTCAGGAAGCTCTTCAGCAGCCAACAAGGCATCAATCATGCCAAAGTACACCTGAACAAATGCACAACCATTTCCAATTAGAAGAAATGAAAGCTGAAGGAATTATATGCTGTATAGCAAGCATGCTCTAGCAAATATTTGCACTCTTTCAATTTCCATTTTGTACCCTTGTAAATTTTTGTTCAATTGTGTTCTAATATAGCTATTATGCATGATACTAGAAAGAATTGCGCCCTAGGCATGCTTACTATCACATCCTTTTCACAGATGGCCCTCATCCTGAAAAGGAGGATGCCTTAACTTACCAGCAACATTTTGATTGATCATGCATGAAACATGAACCGGAACCAAATATATTTTGGGGCTAAATTGTCACTTTGAAATAATGAATAGCATCTTTATCGTTGCATGCTCCATGGAATAAAGAACACCACTTAGATGTAAGAACACTTCTAGGAAACATGTTAAAGTTAGTTGATACAACAATTAGAAAGAGGATCTACATAATTTGTAAACGTAAAATCAGGTAGGTGAAAATTTATGAAACTAAGTGCATCAGATATAGGCTTTATTGTAGATATGGATTTCATTAAAAAATTGCAGCAGTATCTACAAGATTCTGATCGGGTTCAAGATTGATCATAGGATTTAGGACATGCATAGGTTTGGCAGCTCAGGATGAGGATAGGTTCTGCAGCCAGACTAACAAACCCAATAGTTTTATGGTTTCTTTGAAACAAGAAGATCTGACAAAAATCAGTCATAATCTGCATGATGAGACAAAGATGAGCTGGGGTCAATGGGATTGGCTGGAAATCAATCTGGGATCAACCGACACTGACCAAAATTAGTTTGCAAGGCTGGTCATTGCTCAGGCTGCTATAATCAACTCAGGATCAGTGATTGAACTTGGTGATCCCAAAAAGTAAGGGTTCAGAAATTTGTGCCTAATCTGAAGCAGAATCAGTTTCAGACAAGGGACTAAAATAGTCAGTAATAGAATACTAGAGAAATTGATAACTTTT